TCACTCATTTCTTTCACTGCTCCTGGCATATAAGGAGAAATAGAGGACTAACCCCCTCCACTTCTTTGACACCCCAGATCCCATGATGACTACACTCACAGATCTACAGATCGTTGGAGAGCTAGGATGGACGATGCAACTGATCCACGATTACAGTCGCAACAATGTCATTTGTGCTCACTGGCGTCCTCCGTACGGTATGTCTGCCTACTCGCATTTCCAACAACATCCGATGCCAAAATTTGCATTTTTCGTCAGGTGACACCGATCAGCGTGTCCAAGCGATAGCCAAGCACGTGTTCGGCTTGAAGACTATCCTTTGGCTATATGACCCCAGAGGTAAGAACTTCGCGTGTCATTCTCTCCCCCCCCGCTAAACTTACAATCTAACCCTCTTATGTTCCTCAAGATTGGTGCCTGGCAGAGTCTACACCAAATGGTTCGGCCTGCTCACCAGGGAACGGCCCACAGACCTTTTCCGACCTCAAGAACGCCTTGCACGGGTTTGTCAACTCTGCGAAGCAAAAGGTTAGACATCAATCCTGCTTTTAGCTCTTATCCTTGACCAGCCTCTGAGTTCGCTACTTTTCACATTCCTCTAGGGTCTCATCATTTTGGAGCACGAACAGTCTACGCGCGCGGTCGCGGGATTCAAGTACATTTTCCCCTTGATGAAGAAGCTCAAATGGGTTACATTATCAATCCCTGATGCATTACGTCTCCCATGGTACCAATAACGCCGCGGAGTGCTTCTATCTTCATGCACCCTTTGGACAATACCAGACTCTATCAGTCACATGCCTCGCTCGTTTTGCAACATTCTACCAGCGTTTTTTCTCATTTCTCAATCTGATCTGTTTAGCTACTTGTTTATCGGTCGATGTTTTCATTTATGTCTCCTTTGCTCAGTAATTTAAGCTTTCAAAAGCCGATATGGCTCACGTATGAGCCATCTTTCAATCGATAGAATATTTATTCTTCCTGCAATGGTCAAGGAAAGTAAGCACGGCCAAAGTTACTCAGCAAACATCTTAGAGCCCTGGGCGTGACCCATGCTTGCAATACATTTGACTTCAGCTGTGAATGATCTGTTTTTGAGAACTACTTCCTGTGTCTGCCATTCTTCAGCTTCTTTTGTAAATGGTTGATTAACTGAAAAAGGGATTGACATTCATCAATATGCCTTCCTAGCCCCTAGTTGATTGGGTGGAAAATCTCCCAGATTATTGAGAGCCTGTCTTCATTACATACTATTCTTTTCTTTCTTTTTATTAAATTTGATCTTTTGGAGCAATCTTGAAACTCCCCAACTTTTTGAAACCTTCCCTTGAAAAAGTGCTTGCAATACAGATGGTGACGGAAATTTTGAGCAGCTTGTTTGTGATTCCGAATACCAAAACAAAAAAGAGAATTTGATGGTGTTGGGCTTGATCTTCAGACTTCAAACCAGAAATGTTAAAATCCAGATGAGTGTATGCATCTGACTGGGATGTCTGCTTCAACATTACCCGTTCAATGGTTGATCTAACCTTGTTGGTCAATCTGGTGATCCATTAAAAGGATTTCAAGCACACAAAAAATATCTTTCCAAAAGAATCTGCACCACACATGAGAAAAACAGGCAGACAGTTCAACTGCTTCTTGGAGTGAAGAAATCTTCTGGACATTGTGACATGTCGCAAACTCACCACAATCTCAATGGATCACTCAAATGACCACTGTGGGCTGAACGACTATAGTATGAAACTCCTTTGGGCTTGCCATCTCCTACAAGTGGTATTTAAGACTTGTGGAAATATATTTGTCAAATGAAGCTTCACTCTCACACTCAACAATCCAATGAGATTCATATATTGTGCCAATGAATCACCAAGCACTTACAAAATCACACTTGGTTCTTGCCTATCTTCAACTATTATTTATGATTGGGGTTGTAGACCATCATGTTGAGGGCCAGCAGGTGCACAAGAAAAATGAGAAGTGTGATGTATGTTTCTGAATTGCCCTTATAATTTGTGCATGCATAGAGACAAAAAAAATCCCTTCTTACTCTTAAAAAGAAAGATGGATGATAATTTGAAATGAACATTTTCATTGAACAAAAAAAAAAAATGACCATTCAAAAAAAAGAGAAGAGAAAGACAACAAAAGGTGGGGTGTTTTTTGTAAAGACATGAAGGATGTGAAGTTGCAAGTATGTTTTTTTTTTTTTGAAAAAAGTGGGATGATTAGATGGAGCAAGATATTGTATTTAATAAGGCTTCCAGACTCCCAGAGGAAAGTCTTTGAAAAAAAAGGAAACCCTTTAATGGAAGGTTTGTAGATGCAGATGTAAGTAAGGAGGTAAGTGAGTCGATAGTATTAGGGAAAAAGAAGGGTTATGTGAAGGGATAGGGATGGGGATGAAGGTGACGATGAAAGACCCGAAAGAAACCCAGAAAATTGATCTTGGATGTGAAAGAAAGGAAGAGATACACAAGCGAGTAAGAGAAAAAGTGAACATATCCACAGCAGTTTATGAAGGGCGAAGCGAGAGAGACAGAGACATAGAGAAATCGCCGCAGCGCGCAAAACACTCAGAAGAGGCTCTCATTCGCGACTGATGGTAGCCGTGCGACCGAGCGAGTTGCGTTTGTTGCCTCCACCACCGGGACTGCCGCTTGAGTACCCGTTTTTCTTGTGCGGACTGAGAGCGGATTTGATTTTGGAGAATCTGGAGTAGAGCGAGGAAGAAAAAAGAACAAGGTGATCAGTTTCTTTTCTTGCTTTTGGAGTAGAAAAGAGGAGGGGGGTTAATGTAGAGAGATAGTTGAGGGGGACAAACATGCCAGATCTTCGTTTAGCTCGAGGAGATGATTCTTCGTGGTGTTCATCAGCCGAAGGTTCAGGCGAACGGGTGTTGGGGAGGGGAGGATTATCGCTGACGGAGCGACGGTCATGTTCGGTGCTAGTCTTTCGTCCCTTAACGGCTCCGACGCTGTATCTCCAACCGCTAGTCTT